GTTTGATGAGAAGGAAGATGGATGTGTGAATGTGTGTGTGTGGAAGATGTTGAATGTTTGAAGAGGGAATTGAGGAGTGAGGAGTGTAATAAGGGGATTGTTTGTTGCATGGATGGATTTTGTGGTTTTGTTTCTTGTCTTAAATTAATAGCGAAAGTGGGAATTAGAACTTGTTGGGCACAAATATACTAATATGGTAGATGTTTTGAGTGATTATATATAATCGTCATTTATGGTGAAGCTAATTTCTTTTTATTATTTAATAACTTCTATATTTAGTCATCAAAAATTGCTTTTGCAAATTAAGCTAAAAGTGATTTTTGAGAACAATATAAATTGCTTTTAGCATATGTACACATTTTTGTGAAGAAAAAAAAGGTATAAACGTATTAATACACCTTATACAACGGATGAATCGCTCATACTAGTAGACCAGCTTCTACAAAAATTTGTTGTTTACAACATTAAACTACCTTTGATCTAACTAATCTATATATATATAACTAGTACAGAGCCCGTGCGATGCACGAAATGTACAATTTTAAAGCTATATATCCAGACTTATAATTATATACATGAATACAAAAAAATGTACGGGATATATATAGTACGTGACCCGTGCAAAGCACGGGATATATTTATTTGAGGAATACTATATTATAAGATGCAATATTCAATAAAAGTTTTATAATACGCAGGAAAATTATACAATAGGATGGTATTCGACAAACAAACAATCATATATTATTAAAGACCACCTTGTACACAACATTATGAGTTTGATTTTTCATACAATAATAATAAGATTTTTTGTAAAAAGATAAGAAGGAATTTTCAATCTACACAAACTTTAAACATTAGATGTATTTACGTAAATCAATGACTATATAGACAACTAAACCCTTCAATTTAGGCTTGACATCTACTTTATTTATGGGTGACGTAAAATAAGGATTTAATTTTGACCGATTAAATCTTTATTCATAGGCTTGACATATTAAAACTGATTTGATGGGATTTTCTTAACTAAACCGATGTTATGGGATAAAACAAATCTATACTTACCTTTGACTTTTCCAGCAAAGGTAAAAAAATCAGTTCTAATTTTTATCCCATAACAAATATTTAATGTCAAGCCTATAATTACCAAAACAAATCTGTAATTAATATCATTCTATTTTCAGCAAGCATTAATTACCTTTGACTTTTTTGCCTACTATTTTTAGTAAATATGATGACTTTTTATATAAATATAGATTTCATATAATGCAAAGACTGAGATCATAAAAAAGAATCCTAAAAACTGAAACAATATATTTGCATAATTTAATGCCATTAAGAAATCGATCTCTAAACCAGATTTGATTTTCAGAATATGTTTTTTTATTTCGAATTCCATACAAAATGGAATTCTTTCAAACCAATAGATGTCATAGCAAATATTAACTCTTAACTATTAGACTATTAGTACATACCGAGCAAATTGTGTACTGATTATAGAAAGTTAAAATGATTCATGTTAGGTAATTTACATTTTATGCATGTTGAACGGTGGGTTTTAAATATTGTTTCATAGAATGTAAAAATGTATTATATTATTTTTATGAGACGTTGAATTTGAAAATTAATAGAATTCTTCTTCATAGGAATTTTAAATGTAACAATATTCTTTGGTATACACTACTAATAAAATCTATATTTAAAGTTTATATTTTTTTTTTACCTGAAAAAATTCCTTAATTTAAGGAATCATATATCTTCAATCAGTCCACATCTATATACACTCTTCACAATTTTAAATCTTGAATTTGATGAGAATTCGTATCTATGAGTGCAAAATATGATTTAACAAATTAATTTTTTATTATTATTCCAGTCATACTTCTTTATATGATTTTTTGTGAAAATACAAAAGTAAATTCTTAATTTTAAATCAGCCGTACATTAAAGAGTACAAATTTGTTGAAATTACAAAAGTAACTTTTTACTTTTAAACAGAAGTAAATTTAAATCAGTCATAAAAAAGTAATATTTGTTTACCATTTAAATATTAAATTAGCCGTAATTAATGTTGTTTGTTTTAGTTGCCATGATTTAAGGGCAACATTTAATGCTGCTCTATTTTTAGGAGACATTAAATGTATTTGACGGGAAAAACTTGCTAAATGTGTTAAATGGTTAATCTTTTAATATAATGATAGATAAGAATTATCATTTACCAAAAATAGTAGCAAAAAAATAGGTCAGAATTTAATACAGCCTATATATAGTAAGTTTTATTACTTTTCTTATTTTTTTCTTTAACAATCATACATCATTAAATGTTACCTTAAATTTCGGGCTTTAGTTCATTTTATTATTTAAAAAATCCGGCTAAGATTTATTAATTGTGTATGTTTTTATTTTGATTCTTTAAATTGCATAATCAATCAAGTAATCTTAATTTTTTAAAAATTATTATGGTTATTTTTTATTAATATGCATAAAGTAAAAATAATTAATTCATCTTTAGATATATAATTTATAATCTTAATATACTTCATTTGGTGTAGACATTTATTATATGAATCATAAAATATTTTTATTTCATAAAATTAAATATATTTAAAGAAAATAAGAAAATTTCTTCGGATCAATCAGGTGATTGAATTAAGATACTGCCCATGTTGATTGAATTACTTTTAGGTGATGCTTAAATAGTTAAAAAACTTGACACAACTTGGTTGGTCTCAGGTGACTAAGTTATGTATCAGTTCGACCACACCAAATCGATTATTGAATCTAAATATAAATTTATATTGAAAATATATTATTATGTGAATGTGATGTAGTCCAAATTTTAAATAATCGTATTAACAATACTTTTATGACAACATTTGTAATGATTTAAGAATATATGTACATCATTTTATTAATATTTATGTGGATTAAATAATATTTTATTATAATATTTATTAATGTACAGTAAATATAAGGGTTTCAGAACTGGACCGTCATCGAAACGATCAAGCTATTTTATTAAATCATTTGTGGTTTGTTCAGATTTTAATTTATAAACATTTTAATATATATATATATATATATATATATATAGTACTTTTGTAATAAATTTAAATAAAATGTGCTATTAAGATATCTAAACAATTTATAAATTCAAATGTTTAAACTAACTGATATATAATTTATAAATCTCTATTTTATTTAAATATGTTATTTAATTTAAAATAATTTTAAATATAACAAAATTTATTTAAAAAATCGTGTTGATCCTACCAGTCCGACCGACTGGTGTTGACGGATTCGAGAGTAAATATATTATTCAAGCAAACTAGACTGGTTATAAACCGATTCTTGGTCCATCTGGTCAGACTATGTCCAAACCAGTTTAATTTAAAAACAATGGATAAATTATGATTACTGCTATTTATATATTAAATTTATAATACAATCATAAATATTGTTTTCTCGTGCATCGCACGGGCCACGCACTAGTTACACTAAACGAACATTAATATTGTTAATCTGGTGAGTTGCATTAACTTTAGCTGGTTGAAACCGTGAATTCTGTAAGCGTAAATTGAAAGAAAATGTTTTTATTTTCCCAGAAAATATCGTCTCCTAAAATCTACTACACACCAAAACGAAAATCAAAATAAAAGGAAAAATACCAAAAGA